TGGTACCACATATTCTTCAATTGTGCCAGAAAAAACAATCGCGTCCTTCGTAATAATGGGTTAGTGTTTAAAATGTGAATTTTTGTTACTAGGTTTATTATGTTTTTTTTTTTTTTAATTAGGCCTGGGTTTGTAATTTAAATAAAATTAAACAAAAAGTGGTATGCGAGCCTGAAACGTTTGAGAACCACTGATCTAAAGTATGTTAACAATGGTGTAACACTAGATACTGAACATAAAGAATAAGTTCAAAGTTACAAGGAATGATTCATGCGCACACACAAATAGTGCGGCAATACCAAAGCATACATATTTATTTCATATTTTTGACCTTTTTACAAAACAACTTCCATCAAAATAAAGTACGGTAACGTGGATATGCAATTACCAGAGGCAGATTTACTGGTACAAAGTGTACGGGACGCATTTATTTATTTAATCATCAAGCACAACTCGAGAGAAGCGTACATAAACCACATTTGATATATCGTAAATATGCACACACATATAAATATTTATACCCATGAACACAGCAAGGCTCACAAATAACAACTATTTACATTTAAGAATACATCCGCAAAAAATGTTTAAATGTTGAAAATCACAAAATATAAAAACTATAATTGAAGTAACAATATTTAGGCCTAAACTTCATAAGTTTGTCTAAAATATTTGGCTTTACTTTTTTATACTCCTAATTGCAATGATGGACATTAATTTTATCAAATTTAAAAACTTTCTAAAGTTTCCATATTCAAAATGCCTCAATGTTTAAAGGACAACGACACTGGCTTTATTTCATTTAGAATTATCTTATAAAAACCTGTAATCGTTATAATTTACTCATTAGGATAGTTATTATTTGTATTGATACAACATATCACCGATTTTTATTGCAGAAAATTTTGGACACCGTTTTTTTAACATCCATGCATGCTGAGCTTCCAAAGTAGTATATAAATATATATATTTTTGTGTTCACGATAGATTATTGGATTTCAAGGTCAATATATACCTTCCACGTTTCTGAAATCTTATGGTAAATCTAAAATAACAGGCTTAATTTACAGAAAAACCTTCCTCCTCCGCAAACTTTTTAAAATTAGCTTTGACGAAATCGTTTAACGTATATTTCTATTTTAACGTTTAGTATGAACGAAATATATTAACCAAACCTCGTAACAGAAATTCCCACGAAACATTAGACCTTAGAAATGACGTTTATGGACAGTATGTCGGCTTCGTAGTAGCTTAGAAGTAGAAGATCTGAGCAAGTACACTCCACATATGACCTTACGAAAATACTGTTTAACCCATAAAGGCCATGTCTACGGTCGATTAACCTTAAAAAAATATTTCTGAAACGAAGAACATATTTGGCGTATAATTCTATTTCCCAAACAACTTGTTTCTAAGTAAACAATTAAATTTAATAAACACTAAAATGAATTTTTAATATTCCGCTAACTGAAACACATTAAACTTTTATCCTACTCATATCTTAAGATTAACTAAATAAAAAGTTTTATTCTTATAGTATTGTATATGTTTCACAAGTTGTAAAAACTAACATCCCAAAAACAATCTTTAAAAAAAAAAGTGTTACACAGTACATGGGTATGATCGAGTCAAAATAGCAAAAAGTATACATATTGAATGAAATGGAAATTTAAAACTCCATTCGGGTAGTAAAATGTTCCCCCACCAGAAATGTAATACATATTTACGACGTCTAAGACATGTGCCTTCTTGAGATGTACTGCATCAAGTTAAGCACATACATCAATTTTTTATTACAAAATTACTCATTTTATATTCCCCTTTTTTATCTTCTGTATCCACCGAATTTAAAAATTCTGCAGATTCGGTTAGGAGGTAATGTTACGAATTCCAAAGTACAGATAACGTTAACGTCAAGTGAAGTTCAGTTTTGCGGAAGGGGCGTATCTCATTAGTCGCTTTCTCTTCGACGAAAAAAATAGTTACAGTTATATTCTGTGAACAAACGTCTGCTAAGATTAGAAAACTAGAGGAAGCCTTAATACTTCAGAATGACGTTGTGCGTCACACCATTATTGACTCGCAAAAAGTTGCTCGAGAAGAACGTTTTTCAGTTTCAGGAAAACTGGTGAATAAATCATCATATCGGTATAAAAAACTGAATCAATTTACACAAATACTTTAATTTATATAAGATCTAATGATAAAAATTTATTTCATGTTAATTGCTAGACTTAAAACTTTTGTCGCGATAAAGATGGTGACCATTCTTTGTCATACACAGTTTTTGAGAGGCCATGAAACTATGTATTACATAGAATGACTACCTACCAGTTATCGTGACTTGAACGGCCCAGAGACCATAATATGTTTATAGTTAAAATTTTTCGTTCCAACAACAATTAATGTAAATTTAACACATTACGAATTCACACTTTATATGGTTGTATTTTTTTTGTAATTTCTGTACTGAGCACTGAATATAACTATAATGATATTCATATGTCAAATTCAGATCTTTTGAATACAGCAGAAATTTTCATGGAGATAAAAATTCCGCTTCTTATTAAATAATTTACCAATAGTTTAATAAACGCACAAGTTTCACGGTGTGACATCGAAAAAGGCAAATAAAATCACAACTTAATACTTAAATTGATATCATCTATACTTTTCATATTCAACCTTAGTGTTGTCTAGTTTCTCAATTAACAGTCAGTAGAGTCTAGCTTTGAACTTATCTTTTCACCGTTTGGTTTTTAAACCAACTTCATGTAAGAAACTAAATTGTCATTTGTACCCTGCTCTAAGATAACTCTTGACGACTTATCATTTAAAATTAACCCTTGTTCGACAAGTTAAATGTTTTTAAATTCTGAAATAGCTGTTTGAATGTGGAAACTCAACATATAATCAAAATACGCCGTCTAATAGTTTGACATTTATTTGCAGTTAGAGCAACAGCCACAGGCAATGGATTTATATTGTTTCTTTTAGAGCAAAGCCACATTGAGCTACCTGCTGTCCACAGCGGGTTATCGAACCCAGGATTTTAACGTCATAAATCTGTAAGCATATCGCCGTCCCATCGGGGGACTGGTTTGTAGTACCCTAGCGATGACAATTTTAATAAAGTAATATTAAAGGCAAAAAACCTAAGCAGAAAATTGGTTTATAATTGACGCTTTACATTGATATTCGCGAACCACACTGCAGGAATCAAATACATCTTGTAATAGTTAGCTTTACTGGATACAACACAGTGAAATCAGTTTAACTACGAGTCCCCTGGCTAGTTGTCTTAATTTTCCGATATCTCGTGAATTAAGAAGCAGTTACTAAAGTTATATAATCCATAACAATTGTCCAACTATTAGTGTTTTAATTACATACAATACATCTAACAAATATCAGAGAAATTGTAAACGTGACGACGCTATATACTTGTAATTTAAAACAATTTGAACTCTTGTCATTCATTTACAGAAACTACCAAGGATGAGAATGTCTTTATAAGGGTTGTTGATATTAAAACCAAATTATAATCCACTGTTACTACAGTCAGTTATAATATATTAAAATATTTCTACTACATTCCTTTTCTAGCTCAGGTAACCCCTGAGTATGAATCTCGTGAAGCTTGTTCGATTATTAAACTATCAATAAACGACAATGAAATGAGTACAAAGAACACGTTTAGTAAAAAAATATCTAGACATTTTTATCTTACAAAAAACATTTTAGAAATATAGTTTTCAAAATATAGAAAAAAATTCACCCCTTCTTTCTATATTATTAATTGACAAAACAAAAAAATACGACTGTCAGTAAATTTTCTATAAATTCCGATTAAGGCAGGCCCGTGATATCTGTGTTATTTTGATTTAAGAGTACAAAAAATAATTCCGAATTAGAAAAACTCCTTTTAAACGATTCTTAAAAATCCAGGAAAATGCTTTACGTATGCCTTTCGACTCAAACCTTACTTCTATACAAAAGTGGATACATACACTCATCCTACTATTAGCTAATGGCACATCTTCCAAGGATATCTTATTAATCAACAAGCGCAGCCTAGTTTTCGTAACACGTTGTTTTAAAGCTAGCCGGCAGAAATACTCGTCAATACATTTCTATTATTCGTTACAATTTAAAGTAAATTAGTGATTTAAAATTCATTCACCTAATAGTAAGTTTCTCTTGTAGTTTAAAGTCAATAATTAAAACCAGTTAACAATCAATCTATACTAGTACGTTCAACTGATAAAATTTCTAATCAAATCACAGTTAAAGTGCCGTAGTGCTGTTACATACATTTCTTACTGAAATCGAGCATAAAATCCTGTAAACAATAAAGAGTGATTAAAATTATTACTAGTTTCCTTCTGGTGTAATAGTATACTCATTAACACTTAACGGATCATGTTTCGTAAACGTACAAATTCTAGTCTTTAATTGGTCTTTACTGTTTTTAACTTAACACTTAGTTTTAACTGCCCATCTTGCATTATAGTCAGAGTATTTTAAAGACAGTCACTTAAACCAGTATAAATTAAGTTTACGTTTCCGTGAATTCTGATTGAAATATTTTTCTGTCCACTACTTAAACAATATGTTTACAGTTTTTTCATGAGGTCCATGGTGAATGAATAGTGCTGATGTCTATTTAAACTAATCAAACGAAAACTCTACAGTACCTACAAAAAGACAATTCTTTTAGGGATCTAAATGAAAAAAAAAAATCACAAGAAACACTTATATTCTACATTAAATAAAAATGAATAATTCTATTGTAAAAAAAAAAACATTA